AGATGAAAGACTATCGGATATAGAGGTGACAGCAGAGGATGTAATGAAACAGTTGACAACACTGGATGCAAATAAAGCTGTTGGACCAGACAAAGTATCACCGTGGATACTCAAAGAGGCAGCGCAGGCTCTCAGCGTGCCTCTGGCAATGATCTTTAATGAGTCACTTATGTCGGGAGAATTGCCCAGTTGCTGGAAGGAGGCAAATGTCGTACCGATTTTCAAAAAGGGTGATAGGGAGGAGGCACTTAACTACAGACCCGTATCACTGACAAGCATCCCCTGCAAAATACTTGAAAGAATAATTAGGCTAAGACTTGTTGAGCACCTGGAGAGCATTGGGTTTGTAAACAAGCACCAACATGGGTTCTGGACAGGGAAATCATGCCTAACAAACCTTTTAGAATTCTATGATAAAGTAACAAGGATAAGGCAGGACAGAGAAGGCTGGGCAGACTGCATATTTCTTGACTGCCAAAAGGCCTTTGATACAGTACCGCACATGAGACTGCTATACAAACTTGAGAGGCAGGCAGGAGTAAGCGGAAAGGCCCTAGTATGGGTGAAGAACTACCTAACAGGAAGGAGCCAGAGGGTAATGGTAAGGGGCGAAAAGTCGGACTGGCGAACAGTAACAAGTGGAGTACCTCAAGGATCGGTGCTGGGACCAATCCTCTTTCTAATTTACGTAAATGATATGTTTACAGGAGTGGAATCATACATGTCAATGTTTGCAGATGACGCAAAATTAATGAGAAGAGTTGTGACAGACGAGGATTGTAGGATCCTCCAAGAGGACTTAAACAGGCTGCAGAGATGGTCAGGGAAATGGCTACTGGAGTTTAACACCAGTAAATGTAAAGTTATGGAAATGGGATCAGGTGACAGGAGACCAAAGGGACAGTACACAATGAAGGGGAACAGCCTACCTGTAACGATTCGAGAAAGAGACCTGGGAGTGGATGTGACACCTAATCTAACTCCTGAGGCACATATAAATAGGATAACGACAGCAGCGTACTCTACACTGGCGAAAATTAGAACTTCATTCAGAAACCTAAATGAGGAAGCTTTTAGGGCGCTTTACACTGCCTACGTGAGACCCGTCTTAGAGTATGCCGCGCCATCATGGAGCCCCCACCTGAAGAAACACATAAAGAAACTGGAGAAGGTTCAGAGGTTTGCGACGAGGCTTGTCCCAGAGCTACGAGGGATGGGATATGAAGAGCGGCTGAAGGAACTGAACCTTACGACACTAGAGAAAAGAAGGGAGAGAGGAGATATGATAGGGACATATAAAATACTCAGGGGAATTGACAAAGTGGAAATAGATGAAATGTTCACACGTAATAATAACAGAACGAGGGGACATGGGTGGAAACTGGAAACTCAGATGAGTCACAGAGATGTTAGGAAGTTTTCTTTTAGCGTGAGAGTAGTAGAAAAATGGAATGCACTTGGGGAACAGGTTGTGGAAGCAAATACTATTCATACTTTTAAAACTAGGTATGATAGGGAAATGGGACAGGAGTCATTGCTGTAAACAACCGATAGCTAGAAAGGCGGGATCCAAGAGTCAATGCTCGATCCTGCAAGCACATATAGGTGAGTACATATAGGTGAGTACACACACACACACACACACACACACACACACACACACACACTCACACACACGTGGTGTTGGTGACTGTGTTGTGACGCCTGTGCACACCTCACTCAAGCCTATATCCTACCCTCTCTCCCTCTCCTTCCCTCCCTCCACCTCTCCTTCCCTCCCTCCCTTCACTTATCCTTCCCTAAATTCCTGTCCTTGACCAGATATGTTTTGAATAACATTATCTTGAAGGTTGTCGAGTGTTATGTACTCAACTACTGGCGAATACAACTCTTGATGAGTAAACAAACACACACGTGAATCTCTTTATAGAGGACGTCGTCGCCTGTGTGTGAAACCCACTCCTTAAGAAACAACACAAGATTCGGAAAGGTCACGAGAAATGCAGTCTAAATCTGTTACTCTTCCCGGTGGCTTAGCATTATTCGTAAACATTTTAATCATTCATTTTGTCGGGGACAGGAAGCCTGTGTGTATGTACTTAAGGCTTGTATCGACGTTTACACCACCTCCCCTCCCCCCCCCCCGCACCTCCATCCCGCCTCTCAAGGTCGAACTATTGACCCTCTCCAGGATGCAACCCCACAACAGTTGACTAACTTTTCTGGTAACCTATTTACTGCTAGGTGAACAGAGGCATGAGGAGAACGGAAACGTGCCCAATCAATCTTGTTCTACTTTACAATCGAACCCGGGAACTCCAATTATAAGTTGAGAACTAAGTCGACTGCAAATGATAAGGAGGAACATTTGTAGAACATGTCAAAATAACGGGGGTTCTGGAAATGCATGCACTGATCTGATAATGAAGAGGGGGGATTATCAGGAGAAAGTACCAAGCCATTACGACTATATAGCACTGGGAAGGGATCACGATAAGGATTTGGGATGGGACGGAGGGGAAGGAATGGTGCCCAACCACTTGGATAGTCGGGGATTGAACGCCGACCTGCATGAAGCGAGACCGTCGCTCTACCGTTTAGACCAAGTGGTCGTTAGAGAGTGAGGACCTGCTGGTCTGTCCTAGACCATTATCACGGCGTGTAATGGTCCTGGACGGACCGAAATGTCCTCATTCCTGTTATTCCCCTTGTTTCCATGTGTGTGGGATGGGAGCCGGATCTCATCTGTACATACATGGCCAGTACAAGGTCCATGTTCACCTAGTTCCCTCCTGTCACATGTTTCATCCATGGTGTGTGTCATCCATGGTGTGTTTCATCCACGGTGTGTGTCATCCATGGTGTGTGTCATCCACGGTGTGTTTCATCCACGGTGTGTTTCATCCATGGTGTGTGTCATCCACGGTGTGTGTCATCCATGGTGTGTGTCATCCACGGTGTGTGTCATCCATGGTGTGTGTCATCCACGGTGTGTTTCATCCACGGTGTGTTTCATCCACGGTGTGTGTCATCCACGGTGTGTGTCATCCATGGTGTGTGTCATCCACGGTGTGTGTCATCCATGGTGTGTGTCATCCACGGTGTGTGTCATCCATGGTGTGTGTCATCCACGGTGTGTGTCATCCATGGTGTGTGTCATCCACGGTGTGTTTCATCCACGGTGTGTGTCATCCACGGTGTGTGTCATCCACGGTGTGTGTCATCCATGGTGTGTGTCATCCACGGTGTGTGTCATCCACGGTGTGTTTCATCCACGGTGTGTGTCATCCACGGTGTGTGTCATCCACGGTGTGTGTCATCCACGGTGTGTGTCATCCATGATGTGTGTCATCCACGGTGTGTGTCATCCACGGTGTGTTTCATCCATGGTGTGTGTCATCCACGGTGTGTGTCATCCACGGTGTGTGTCATCCACGGTGTGTGTCATCCACGGTGTGTGTCATCCACGGTGTGTGTCATCCACGGTGTGTGTCATCCACGGTGTGTGTCATCCACGGTGTGTGTCATCCACGGTGTGTGTCATCCACGGTGTGTGTCATCCACGGTGTGTGTCATCCACGGTGTGTGTCATCCACGGTGTGTGTCATCCACGGTGTGTGTCATCCACGGTGTGTGTCATCCACGGTGTGTGTCATCCATGGTGTGTGTCATCCACGGTGTGTGTCATCCACGGTGTGTGTCATCCACGGTGTGTGTCATCCACGGTGTGTGTCATCCACGGTGTGTGTCATCCACGGTGTGTGTCATCCACGGTGTGTTTCATCCACGGTGTGTGTCATCCACGGTGTGTTTCATCCACGTTGTGTTTCATCCACGGTGTGTGTCATCCACGGTGTGTGTCATCCACGGTGTGTTTCATCCACGGTGTGTTTCATCCACGTTGTGTGTCATCCACGGTGTGTGTCATCCACGGTGTGTGTCATCCACGGTGTGTGTCATCCACGGTGTGTTTCATCCACGGTGTGTTTCATCCACGGTGTGTGTCATCCACGGTGTGTTTCATCCACGGTGTGTGTCATCCATGGTGTGTTTCATCCACGTTGTGTTTCATCCACGGTGTGTGTCATCCACGGTGTGTGTCATCCACGGTGTGTGTCATCCACGGTGTGTTTCATCCACGGTGTGTGTCATCCACGGTGTGTGTCATCCACGGTGTGTTTCATCCACGGTGTGTTTCATCCACGTTGTGTTTCATCCACGGGGTGTTTCATCCACGGTGTGTTTCATCCACGTTGTGTTTCATCCACGGTGTGTTTCATCCACGGTGTGTGTCATCCACGGTGTGTGTCATCCATGGCGTATTTTAACCGCAAGAACAGTCTCTTGTGCGGGAGACTATCAAATCTCTTTTATAGCTCCTAATAGACGCAATCTGCCCAACCTTACCTTAATCAAGGACCTCTGACGGCCCCTCACACTGTGGAACCTTCCTTATAAATCAAAATACAAAGAAAACAGTCATCTGGATTACATACTATCCAAGTTCTTGTCTACGAGTTTCTTGCCGGCACTGGTCAAAATTATTGTCTGCCTGGATCTCTGAGGCTCCTGTGTTTACAGCCCCTGGGTTGTCTTGTGTTAATTAGCTGACGTTTGAGTGTTGTTACATCAGCGTGTGTAAGGTCTCACCTGTTTGGTAAGGCCTTACACATACTCTCATGTGTGTGAGTGTACATAGTGTAGTCTGGTAAAGGTAGGCTCCATAGAGACTCGTTGAGAAAGATTTAACGGATAGTCACTCACTAATCAGGAAGGGAAGGGAACTATGATGAGAAAGTACAAAGCCATTACGACTATTTAGCACTGGGATAAGGATTAGGGATGGGACGGGGGGTGGGGGGGATAGGAATGATGCCCAACCACTTGGACGGTCGGGGATTGAACGCCGACCAAGAGCTTCAGGGGCAGAAATAAGAATAGTAGGCTATGGAGGCCATCTGTATATTCCCCTCTACGCCGCCATAGGGACGTGTACTCACTTGAAGGACTCGTAGAGGACCGCGGAGCCGAGGGAGGCCAGGTTATCGTTGAGGCGCCCCACCTGCTTCCCCCTCAGGAGGCCGTACACGTGTTCCAGCACCACCGTCACCACGAACCACGGGATCGCCTGCAAGCACACGTGACACACACCTGCTCAGTCCAGCGCGGCAAGGAGGAAGATATCATGGTGGTGGTGGTTCACCAGGTGTTTCACTGGTGGTGTACCGGGTGTTTCAGTGGTGGTGTACCGGGTGTTTCACTGGTGGTGTACCGGGTGTTTCAGTGGTGGTGTACCGGGTGTTTCACTGGTGGTGTACCGGGTGTTTCAGTGGTGGTGTACCAGGTGTTTCACTGGTGTTCCATAGGGGGCTCTACCATGCACCTACATGCTTGTGTCAGTGCTGCCTGTATAGTGCAGTACTGTGCTGCTACGGTGTATACCGTGCTGCTACGGTGTAAACTATTCTGCTACGGTGTATGCTGTGCTGCTTCGGTGTATACTGTGCTGCTACGGTGTATACTGTGCTGCTACGGTGTATACTGTGCTGCTACAGTGTATACTGTGCTGCTACGGTGTATACCGTGCTGCTACGGTGTATACTGTGCTGCTACGGTGTATACCGTGCTGCTACGGTGTATACCGTGCTGCTACGGTGTATACCGTGCTGCTACGGTGTATAGTGTACTGCTACGGTGTATAGTGTGCTGCTACGGTGTATACTGTGCTGCTACAGTGTATACCGTGCTGCTACGGTGTATACTGTGCTGCTACGGTGTATACTGTGCCACTACGGTGTATACTGTGCCGCTATGGTGTATACTGGTATTGTTGTGGTGTTTGCTGTTAATATTACTAGTATTAAATACCAATAATGAATCAGAATCAACTTACATTCACAACATTTTGTTATTAACAAATAAGTAAAGGAAATGAACATGTATGCTGCTGTAAACACACACACACACACAATCACACACACACACACACACACACACACACACACACACACACACACACACACACACACACACACACACACACACACACACACACACACACACACCATCGCAAGGTTTGATTGAGCATGGTACCTAGTGGATGAATATTCAGGAGAATTATCAGAGTGGACATAGACGAAATGTTCACACGGAATAGTAACAGAACGAGGGGACATGGGTGGAAGCTGGAAACTCAGATGAGTCACCGGGATGTTAGGAAGTTTTCTTTTAGCGTGAGAGTAATGGAAAAATGGAATGCACTTAAGGAACAGGTTGTGGAATCAAACTCTCTTCATAATTTTAAAACTAGGTATGATAGGGAAATGGGACCGGAGTCATTGCTGTAAACAACCGATGGCTCGAAAGGCGGGATCCAAGAGTCAATGCTCGATCCTGCAGACACAAATAGGTGAGTACAAATAGGAGAGTACACACACACACACAGTTGATTGATAGTTGAGAGGCGGGACCAAAAAGCCAGAGCTCAACCCCCGCAAGCACAACTAGGTGACTACTCACACAATAGTTAGCAAGTGATGTGGTGGAGGCTGACTCCATCCACAGCTTCAAATGTCAAATGTAGATATGTTAGATAAGTTCAACTCCCGGAAGCACAATAAGGTGGATACACACACAAGTGAGGCTCAACATGGAGCACGTCGTCTCACTCTCCAACTCCTAATGAAACAACACAAAATTCAAAAAGTTGTGAGGTGTTCACAGAGGCTTGTGCCTGAACTGTGAGGGTTAAGTTGTGAGGCGAGGCCGGGGAGCTGGACCTCATCTCACTCGCGGAGAGATGGAATTGAGGAGACATGATAACAACAAAGGGTTGATAATGATCACCCCTAAACATGGGTGGTCTTACCCTTGTGCCCCCTAACACCCCCGAAACAACCAGGGTGAATGGACTCTGGCTAAGGTACCGGACGGCATCTTGGGGGGTACCACCACCCCAGTAGCTATTCTGGAGATGGTGGGTGGCTTGACCGAGCCCGTGAGAGGATAGGCTACGGCCCGAAGGACACGCGCGCATGTTCCTTTTACGCTCTCCGGGGACTTGACTAGTTCCAGCCAGGCTTGCCTCCCTCGTGATATTTAGTTTCCATGCGCGCATGACAATTATGGTTGGTCGTCTCACCTTGAGACGTTATTCATTCACTTTTTTTGGCATGTTTGCGCCCTGAGGTTTATTTTATTATATATTATATTTTAGTAAGTATCTTCAAAAAATTGCCAAGGATATTGAACAAGTGGATCAAGGGAACATGTTGGATATAAGACCACGTAGAACAAGAGGACACGGATGGAAACCTGAGGTGAAATATATGACATGATGCAGGAGAGTTTGGGGTCACTACATTAAACAACGGAAAGCAGGTAAGGTGGGGCTCAGGAGTTAGAGTTCAATCTGGCAAATACATATAGGTGAGGACCCATACACGCAGTTCAGAGACAATTCCAATAGAGCCAACTACTATAGAGGCATTATATATTGAAAGTGTAAAGAAAACGGCAAGTGGTGGTAAACCTGATAATTCTGTCACGTGATAAATTTAATTAAGTTTTGAATTATGTATCTCACTCATTCTCACTTTAATTCTATTTGTTGTCTTGCCCCCTCCCCCCCCCTCTCTATCTCTCTTTCTCTCTCTCTCTCTCTCTCTCTCTCTCTCTCTCTCTCTCTCTCTCTCTCTCTCTCTCTCTCTCTCTCTCTCTCTCTCTCTCTCTCTCTCTCTCTCTCTCTCTCTCTCTCTCTCTCTCTCTCTGTCAGCTTACCTCGTTAATGTAGTTGGGGACATCCTCGACCCTCTTGAAGGTGGAGTTGGTGGGGCTGACAGCATAAAAGAGAGTGCCAAGCCTCCGCGCGGAGAAGAGTTCTTGTGGGTTGACGGTTCCCATCTTCCCGAGTGCACTCTGCTGCCACCACACACTCACACTCGGCCTCCAAGTGCCTCTCTGCTGCCACCACACACTCACTTTCCGCCTTCAAGTGCCTCTCTGCACATAGGCTAAGACTCTCTATGAAATCTCCACGTAAACACCCTCTTGAGTGTATGTATGCGCGTGTGTGTAAATTATACGAAAATTAGAGAAAACCGGCGTGTGCTGACGCTGTCACCCGCGCGTGTGTGTGTACAGACGAGCGCGCCAATTCCGGCGTCACTCAGGTACGAACGGGGGTATGAGAGAGCCAGTGGGTTGGGCTGGCGGCGTGCCGGGTCCCAGCGAGGGTTGGTATGGAGGCTGGTGGTAGGGAGGTGTCAGCTCGCCGGAGATCAGCAAGAGACTGGAGGTCTGGAGGACCGGCCCGGACCATTTGTTCCTGCTGACACCCCCCCTCCTCTCCCCGCTTCACCCCCTCAGCACTCCTCTACCCCCCCCCCCCCCCCACGACCACAACATGTACCCTGCAGGCCACCTTGGTGGCGGTAATCCGCCGCTTATCCCAACAACACCCTTTGTGTATTTGCTGTATATTTGTTTACTTAGATGGCGGGGGAAAAAATAATTTTACAACAACATTCTCGCGCAAATATATCAACACACACACACACACTCACAAAGGAATCGCATGGAGGCGAGGATACGTGGAGAGCCAAACTATTGGAGGTGGTGACTAGAAACTTTTTAACCCAGCATGTCAGAGAACCCACAAGGATGAGAGGAAATGACGAACCAGCGAGACTCTACCTAGTCATCACTCTGAACGACTCCGACATAAGAGAACTCGGTTTTGAGGACCCATTAGGAATGAGCGACCACAGTGTACTGGTGTTTGAGTACCTGATTGAAGAAGGGTTATTGAACTCGAGGAGGGATACCGAAACAAAAAGGTTAGCATACCGAAAGGGAAACTATGAGGAGATAAGAAAATTCCTAACAGATATAGCATGGGGAACAGAGCTCAGGGGAAAGATGGCCCAAGATATGATGGACTACATCACGCAAAAGTGCAAGGACGCAGCAAACAAGTTTGTCCCAGCCCAAAAGGAAAACAGAGAAATGAAGATGAGAAACCCATGGTTTAATCGATGTAGGCTAGCTAAGCAGCAAAGTAAAAGGGCATGGAGAAACTATAGGAATAACAGGACACTGGAGAGCAGAGAAAGATACCAGAATGCCAGGAATGAATATGTCAGGTTGAGAAGAGAGGCAGAAAGACAATACGAAAATGACATCGCAAGCAAGGCAAAGACTCAGCCTAAATTGCTGTATAGCCACTTCAGGAGAAAAACAACAGTAAAGGAACAGGTTATGAAATTAAGGATAGGGGCGGAAGGATTCACTACAAACGACAAGGAAGTGTGTGAGGAACTGAATAAGAAATTCCAGGAGGTCTTCACCTTAGAGCAAGGAGAAATTCCAGAGATACGAGAAGGAATAGCTAACCAGGAACCACTGGAAGAGTTTGAGATTACCAGCGGGGAAGTAAGGAAGTGTTTACTAAAGTTGGATGTGACAAAGGCTATAGGCCCAGATGGAATCTCCCCTTGGATACTAGAGGAAGGAGCAGAAGAACTGTGCCTACCACTCTCCATAGTGTATAACAAACCATTGGCAACAGGGAAACTGCCAGATATTTGGAAAGTAGCTAACGTAGTCCCGATATACAAGAAAGGGGATAGACAGGAGGCACTGAACTACATGCCAGTGTCCCTAACCTGCATTCCATGCAAGCTGATGGAGAAGATTGTGCGAAGAAAGCTAGTGGAGCATGTAGAGCGAAAGAACTTTGTAACACAGCATCAACATGGGTTCAGGAATGGCAGGTCCATTTAAAATGATATACTACCAGAAGTAGAGCAAGTACACTTTCCTCAGCCATGACAAGTAAATTATATCTGTTATGAAACTAGCTCGTCACAGATGTAAAATGCTCAACTTCGAGGCTATACTGGTCCAGTTCTTAAGCTCATTATGTTATAAACTCTTGATATGTACATTAAACTATGTAACTCTATTAACGAAATCGGAACACTGTGACCGTCTTCTGTTGTGGGAGTACTCGACGATGTTACACACACACACACACACACACACACACACACACACACACACACACACACACACACACACACACACACACACACACACACACACACACACGCGCGCGCGCGCGCGCCTTCAGTCCCCACCTGAAGAAACACATAAGGAACTGGAAAAGGTTCAGAAGTTTGCAACGAGACTCGTCCCAGCGTTACGAGTGATGGGGTATAAAGAGCGCCAGAAGGAACCCAGCCTTACGACACTAGAAAAAAGAAGGGAGAGGGGGGATATGATAGGAACGTATAAAATACTCAGGGGGATTTACAGAGTGGACATAGACGAAATGTTCACACGGAATAGTAACAGAACGAGGGGACATGGGTGGAAGCTGGAACTCAGATGAGTCACAGAGATGTTAGGAAGTTTTTTTTAGCGTGAGAGTAGTGGAAAAATGGAATGCACTTAAGGAGCAGGTTGTGGAAGCAAACTCTATTCGTAATTTTAAAACTAGATATGATAGGGAAATGGGACCGGAGTCATTGCTGTAAACAACCGATGGCTCGAAAGGCGGGATCCAAGAGTCAATGCTCGATCTTGTAGACACTAATAAGTGAGTACAAATAGGTGAATACACACACACACACTCTCTCTCTCTCTCTTTCTCTCTCTCTCTCTCTCTCTCTCTCTCTCTCTCTCTCTCTCTCTCTCTCTCTCTCTCTCTCTCTCTCTCTCTCTCTCTCTCTCTCTCTCTCTCTCTCTCTCTCTCTCTCTCTCTCTCTCTCTTTCTCTCTCTCTCTTTCTCTCTCTCTGAGTACCCGAAATGAGAGGTAGGAGCTACGAGGAGAGACTACTGGAATTAAACTTCACGTTGCTGGAAGACAGAAGAGTTAGGGGGGACATAATCACCGCAAAAGATTCTCTTTGGAATTGATAGGGTAGATAAAGATACAGGTGGAAATTGAGTGGCCAAATGAGCCACAGAGATATTAGAAAGAACTTTGTTAGTGTCAGAGTAGTTGACAAATGGAATGCATTAGGCAGTGATGTGGTGGAGGCTGACTCCATACTCAGTTTCAAATATAGGTATGATCGAACCAAATAGGCTCAGGAATCTGTACACTAGTTGATTGACAGTTGAGAGGCGGGACCAAAGAGCCAGAGCTCAACCACCGCAAACACAACTAGGTGAGTACATTCTCTCCTCTCTCTCTCTCTCTCTCTCTCTCTCTCTCTCTCTCTCTCTCTCTCCTCTCTCTCCTCTCTCTCTCTCTCTCCTCTCTCTCCTCTCTCTCTCTCTCCTCTCTCTCTCTCTCTCTCTCTCTCTCTCACTCTCAACTCTCTCCTCTCTCTCCCTCCCTCCTCTCCCTCCCTCGTCCCCTCCCTGTAGGTGGCTCAGTAAGGTGTGTGGGAGAAGCAGTAGGCGTGTGTGGAAGCGAGCGTATAAATGTTACGAATCACAAAAGGTGACTCTTACAGGCTACTCATGCCCGTGCTTCCTCTTGGGAGGCTTGATCTTCATCAGATCAAAAGGTGAGTGTGTAAATGTGAGGCTCCGGTCGTGGGGAAACACTGCCAGCTACGCGGGCCGCATGTTGATGCAACCATCACTCCTGCACGTGCCTCATCCTTGCTCCAGCTACTGGCTTACTTTCTGGATCTTGACGTTTTCCAGTGGACCAAAGATTGGTGTCTCAGGATCTGTGAATCTGATTCGAAACTGTGCTTCAAGAGAATGAAGCTAAGGTGGGTGGCGTTCTTATGAAAGCACCAAACTGGGTTGTTACCAAGGATATGAGCCATAGGAAACAATGCCTAGGCCTTCGATATCCGTTATGAAGACGTCCCAGGGCATTTTCAGCACGGGAGAACGAGTGCTGGAGTGAGGGAGCTGCTCGCCCGACAGAGCCAAGCGGGGAGGCTGGAGGAAAGACAACGAAGATCTCAACAGGAAACGTAGGTAAATGTTGGTTATTTGGAAGACTCAGATATATGTAGAGAGAACTTTATGTCCACGAGAGGGTGAGGGTGTGTTTCCTGGGGCTGTTCCAGGTGATGTGGCACACAGGATAGACAATATTTTGGGCGGCAACGGGGAAAAAAATATTGTCTGCCTCACTTTTGGAGGAAAAAATAAACAAATAAATACGAATGATTCAATAAAAAAAGTAAAATAAAATAATAAATCAATAAAAAATTAAAATAAAATATATATTAAAAAAGAAACAAGTAAAAGCTTTGTTATGACGTAGCGCAGAAGGCATGTTGCAAGAAGCCTGCTCATGAGGCTACAGCTACCAACTCTAAACCCAAACCAACGTCAAAGGCAAGCACCTGACACCACTCACAAGCCAGTCAAGACCATCAACTACCACCACTCACAAGCCAGTCAAGACCAGTTCAACTACCACCACTCACAAGCCAGTCAAGACCATTCAACTACCACCACTCACAAGCCAGTCAAGACCAGTCAACTACCACCACTCACAAGCCAGTCAAGACCAGTCAACTACCACCACTCACAAGCCAGTCAAGACCAGTCAACTACCACCACTCACAAGCCAGTCAAGACCAGTCAACTACCACCACTCACAAGCCAGTCAAGACCATCCAACTACCACCACTCACAAGCCAGTCAAGACCAGTCAACTACCACCACTCAGCACTACGTGACAGTTGTTGTTGTTATAGATTCAGCTACTCAGAACAAAGAGCTCCAAGTAGCACGGGCTATGGCGAGCCCGTAAAATGACAGGACAGTCATTTTGTGACAGTAACATAACCAATACATATCCAAAGTGGAGAGAACACTAACCTTTTCATCTCACTCTTGCGCCAGCCTCATTATGTAATGTCCTGTATTCCGTATCCCCCATCCCTCTCTCCCACTCCCCCATTCCTTACCTAGCCCTTCGGTCACCACACGATGAATGGTATTTCGCTAAATAAACAATGCCTTTCAAGTCGACAATTTACCCCAAGTGGCCTTGTCAACCACTGACCAAACACCTAACCTAGGCCCAACTCCAAATACAATAGGAACTATTCACCATTTCCTAATCATCTAGTTCTTGCTTGAATCTATCTATCCCTTAATTATTACCCTTGCAAACATCATTCCCTCCTCCAGAAAGACCAGGGGCCAGATTCACGAAAGCACTTACGCAAACACTTACGAACCTGAACATCTTTTTTCAATCTTTGGCGGCTTTGTTTCCAATTATTAAACAGTTAATGAGTTCCGAAGAACCAGGAGGCTGTTTATAACAATAATAACAGGTGAATGGGAAGTTTTCATGCTT